CTGCCCGCGGCGGCGCGCAGGAGCGTCTCCCGGGCTGCGGGGCCGACCCATCCAGCGCGCCAGAGCGCCACGGGGCCGCGGTGATCGCTAACGCCTGTGCGGTGGCATGCTGCCTTATGCAGGCGGTGGCCCGCCAGGACAGCACGCTCGCGGACCGCAGTGCCACCGGGGGCCGCCATCAGTGCTCGGCATTGCTCCTCGGCCCGCAATCGCTGCGCGGACTCGATCTGCAGACGCCCGCGCAGGGCCTCTATGTGCATGCGTCGCTGCCATCGTCGAAGGCGCGTGCGTGAGATGACGCAGCCAGGCTGGTCGGGATGCTGGTCGGAATGCTGGGCGTTGTGCTGGTCGTTGTGCTGGTCGTCAACCTGGTCGTGGAGCTGGTCGGAATGCTGGTCGGAATGCTGGTGAGTGTGCTGGTCGTGGTGCTGGTCGTCGCGCTGATCGCGGTGCTGGTCGGTGTGCTGGTCGGAGTGCTGGTCGCTGCGTAGGTCGGTGACATGGTCGTGGTCCTGGTCGTTGTGCTGGTCATTGTGCCGGTCGTTGTGCTGGTCGTGGTGCTGGTCGTTGTGCTGGTCGTGGCGTTGGTCGTTGCGCTGGACGTGGTGCTGCTCGTTGCGCTGGTCGGAGTGCTGGTCGTTGCGCTGGTTTGAATGCTGGTCGTGGCGCTGGTCGTTGTGCTGATCGTTGTGCCGGTCGGAGCGCTGGCCGCAGCGCTGGTCGTTGTGCTGGTCGGAGTGCTGGTCGTTGTGCTGGTCCCGATCGGAGTGCTGGCCGTAGCGCTGGTCGTTGTGCTGGTCGTTGTGCTGGTCGGAAAGCTGGTCGGAGTGCTGGTCGTTGTTCTGGTCTCGGTGCTTGTCGTTGTGCTGGTCGTTGTGCCGGTCGTTGTGCTGGTCGTCGCGCTGGTCGTTGTGCTGATCTGAGTGCTGGTCGTTGTGCTGGTCGGAGTGCTGGTCGTTCTGCTGATCGTCGCGCTGGCCGTTGTGTTGGTCGGAGTGCTGGTCGTGGTGCTGTTCGGAGTGCTGGTCCGAGTGGTAGTCGTCGCGCTGGTCGGAGTGCTGGTCTCTGTGATGGTAGTTGTGTTGGTCGGAGTACTGGTCGTGGTGCTGTTCGGCGTGCTGCTCGTGGTGCTGGTCGTCGCGCAGGTCGGAGTACTGGTCGTGGTGCTGGTCGTTGTGCTGGTCGCGGTGCCGGTCGTGGAGCTGGTGGGAGTGCTGGTCGTGGTGCTGGTCGGAGTGCTGGTTGTGGTGCTGGTCGGAGTGTTGGTCGTGGTGCCGGTCGTGGTGCTGGTCGGAGTGCTGGTCGTTGCGCTGGTTTGAGTACTGGTCGGAGCGCCGGTCGTGGTGTTGGTCGTTGTGCTGCTCGCGCTGGTCGTTGCGCCGGTCGTGGTGCTGGTCCTCGCGTTGGTCGTTGTGCTGGTCGGAGTGCTGGTCGGGACGCTGGTCGTGGTGATGGTCGTTGTGCTGATCGGAGTAGTGGTCGGAGTGCTGGTCCGAGTGGTGGTCGGAGTGTTGGTCGTGGCGCTTGTCGGAGTGCTGGTCGTGGTGCTGGTCGGAGTGCTTGTGGGAGTGCTGGTCGCGGTGCTGGTCGCCCCGCTGGTTTGAGTGGTCGTCGTGCTGGTCGTTGTGCTGACTGGAGCGCTGGTCGTGGCGCTGGTCGTTGTGCTGGTCGTGGGGCTGGTGCTGATCGGATCGACGGTGATGCTGGCGCTGGTGGTGGTGCTGGTGCTGATGCTGGTCGCCGTGTGAACGCTGGCCGGCCTGCTGGCGGCTAGTCGCTTTCACTGCCCGCACGCCCTCCGTGCTGCTAGCGCTGTCCCGCGCCCCCGAGCCGCCACCGCCGTCCTTCCCAGTTTTTGTTGGCCTCCCCGCTCCGCCGTTACCATTGCCGTCCCTCCTGTCCACGCCTCCAGTGCCGTTCCTCCCCACTCCTCTCACCGTGCTGCCACTGCCGTCCCTCTCACCGTACCGCGCGATGAACGTGTTGATGAACGTGATGTCGTGCCTCGCGGGGTCTCTGATGTTGTTACCGAACGTCATGCAGTACGTGCCCCACTGTTCCTTGGCGACAGGATCACTCCTTTGCATCTGCTTGATTTGGTCCATCATGGCCCTTTTGTGCATCGGCTCGGTCGCCCCCCGCGGGGGAGGCAGGCGAGGCCGCCATCCGTGGGAGAGGGGCTCGGCGCCGCTGGCCGCCGTCGCTTCGGCAGCCGATGGCGCCGCCGCAGCCATCCGTCCGGCGCCCCGCATCCCCCAGGCGGCGCGCACGGCAAGGCTGAGCCAAAGGCTACGGACGCCGGTGGGAAGGTCAAGAAGCGGGGCAACGTTCGGGGCGCTGAACGAGGATAATTAGCCGCAGCGGCGAGTGCACACGCAAGGGACAAAATGACCCACATTAGTCGCCCTTTAGGCGCCAAGCATCAGACGGCCACAAGCGGGGACGCGAACAGCGCGACCAGGTGATGGAGCCGAGCATCCCGACAGGTGGGGACGAGCGCGGCGACCGGCTCTGGGGCGGCACAGAAACGGCGGGGAGAAGTCGCCCTTGCGGCGCCAGTCTCCGGCCGAACAGCAAGTGAGGCGAGGCCAGGAGGCAGGGGGGGAGGGAAAGGTGCAAGTGCGGACCCCAGCCAGGGCACAGCTGGTGGGGATACGCGCAGCGTCAACAATTACTCAATGCTCGCGCCGCCGAGGCCACGATCCCCCATACATTACGCGCTGTTCGCGTTCCCGAAGCCACGATCCCTTGTAAATTTCATCATCATTGCGCCCTCGAAGCCACAATCCCTTGGAAATTACAAGATTCGCGTCCTCAAGGCCAGAAACGCAAAGAAATTGAACCAAATTTGCGTCACCGAGGCCACCGTCCCATGTAAATTACACGGTTTTCGCGTCCCCGAGGCCACGATCCATCGTAAGTTACGCAATGGTCGCATCCCCAAGGCCACGATCCCCCGTTAATTGTCTAACGTTCGCGTCCTCGAGGCCACAGGCCATAAACCGTCGTAAAATGTACCATGCTTGCGTCACTGAGGCCACGATCCTTCGTAAACAATACTTTTTCACGTCCTCGAAGCCACGATCCTTTTTGTAAATTACACTGCATGCGCGTCCCCGAGGCTACTATCCCTAATAGATTACGCAATGATCGCGTCCCAGAGCCACGATTGTCAGTTTTGCTATGCAAACCGTAGCGTACGATATTGACCCTCGCGTGAAGACCGACATTGCTTCACGACGGCGTCCTTGCATCCCAACTTAGCTCTGGCATGCCCCCATTCTAAGAGAGAGGAAGCCGGCGGCCATGGCAGGAGAGCCCAGAAACGAATCGACAAGTCGGTTCGGCGATCGAAATGAATCGGATGGGCGGAAATAGGCAGCCGAGTCGGTAGAGTTCGAATCCGCGGATATCGGCAGGCTAGTAGGCCTCCATTGAGAAATCGGAGCCCAAATCGGAATACGAAGTCGAATCGAGTCGGAATCGGAAGCCATCGAAATCGAATCGAATCGAATCGGAGGAATCGAAACGAGCCCTGCAACGAACGAAGCCATTGCGGATAATGTCATGAACATCAACTTTCGGAGGTCAACGCGGACTTCTTGGATCGGCGCTGGACCTCTCTCCCTGGCGCGCGGAGCGCGCCAGGTGCGGCGCCGGAGGCGCGCCAGGGGACCCAGCGCCGATCCAAGAAATCCGCCAGCGGGACCCAGCGCCGTCAAGGGGTGGCCACCTCTGTCTGTCGTAACTCATGGGAGCTTCCCATGCCATATTGCTGGCTCTTGTGAAAACGACACCCTCCGACGCCAACCGACGCAGATCAGCGGCGCTAATCAACGACTACCGACGCTAAATCGACACTAGTCGACACTAAGTCGGCGCTTTCTCTCATCGATTACCGCACGCTGGCACACGCGAATGGACTCTAACGACGGAATTCCGAGGACATGCAAGGCTCCCTTTGACTTACAGCCGAACCCACCTCTGCTGCCTGCGGATGCGCGACCACACCTCGCGGTGCCTGTGCGTGAACTCCACGACCTCCCCGACGACGCAGGAGGTGTCGTCGCGCTTGCCACCCCGGCCGATCGGCGCGTTCGGGTACTCTCCACGGTGGTTGGGCTGCGTCTTCAGGTGGCACTCCGAGACGATGCGCATCGCCACCTGCTTCAGCAGCGCGGGCGGCGTGGGCATGAACTTGTCGTCGCAGTGCCGTAGGGGCAGCATCTCGTTGCAGATGGCGATGACCTCGTCCAGGAAGAGGTTGTCGAAGACACCATCGCTCCCCATCACGACGACATCGCCCTCGTAGATCGAGACGCAGTGTACAGCGCTGCCCTTCTCGATCACCTCGATCGCTATGTCCTCCTCGAAATCAGGATCTATCCTGTCGTCGAGGCGGCTGACCTGCAACGGGCACTGTGCGTTGCCATCGATACGCTGCATCTCGGTGTGGAAGACAGTCTCGAAGAGCTCCTGGCCCTCTGAGCGCCGCAGCACGAGCAGCTCGCAGTCGCCCACCGAGAGCACCGCAATCATGGGGTGCAGCTTCCCGTGGATGCGCGTGCTGTTGTCCAGGATGGCGGAGGACGAGAAAACGGCATGAATGTAAACTGTCGGAGCTCCGCGCGGATTTCTTGGATCGGCACTGGACCCCCTTCCTGGCGCGCGGAGCGCGCCAGCGGCGCCGCCAGAGGCGCCGCCAGGGGGGCCGAACGCCGATCCAAGAAATCCGGTCGGAGCTCCGAAAGTTTGCGTGTACGCTGCGTTTTCCTTCCTCGGGATGGCCAGCAGCGCCGTAGTGGACCCGTAGCTCTCCGTGGCCTCATACGCGTCCCGCATCAGCGGGATGGGGCCCTGGTACGAGCCTTCCAGCTGCGCACTCTGGTCCGGGATGAGCTGCGCCATCGCGAGCTCCTCGCAGCAGCGAAGCAGCTCGTTCGGGAGCTCCGAGGCGTCGATCCCGAAGTCCTCGATCTGCGAGACGCCGTCGGCGACGC